TTAAGGTATGAAAAAATGGCAAATATATTTCCCTTTAAATTGCAATAGTTAACGTGATGAAAATTGGCACTTTTGGCGATAAATATTTGCACTTCTTCATACAAAAAGAACGAAGTTTAATTATTATAAATACAGTGGGAAGAAAAACTAAGTGCATGGTGATTTTTTTTTAAATATTTGCAGGATTTTTAAAGTCAAATTTTTTTTTTTTGGTATTTTTAATAAAAATATGGTTAATGGTTTAAAAAGAAATAGTCAGCAAAATATTGAACTTTGAATTTTTAGTACAATAAATTGCAAGTTTTGAGCGGCTGAAAAATCGCTCTTATTTTTTATACTGACGGTTTTTGCGAGACTTAAAACCATGTGTTTTCATAAATTTTTTAAAATTGACCTCGAGCTGGAAAATACTAAATTAGTTGATTTTTTATTAAAAAAAATTCCCCTTAAAAAATTTGCAAATATTTAACAAATATGCATGGTACGTTTTGCTTCACACTGTAATTGTTTTTTTTTTGCAATAATATTATTTTTTTGGAAACGTTTTTTTTTTTTTTGTTATTCACGGTATTATGAAAATTCAATTATGCAAAAATATGCACAAATCGATTGGTAATCAGTAAAAGATTTTTTTCCCCTATTATTACTTTTAGAGAAATCAACTCTTTTCAGTAGATACAAACTAAAGTGATTGAGGCGGTATTCGCAAACCGGTTTCCACCGATCGCTTTTGATATCACTAGTCAGTCATTTTGAAATCTTCACTTTTCGAGTATTGAATAAACCGGATTCTCATTATCGAACAAAGTGGGGGTTTCACCTGATATATTTAGTATAGGTAAGCAAATTAAAATTCACTGCAAATCTCTTTTAGGCTATTGAAAATGGAACTGGAATATGTCTTTTAACTAAACTCTGGGAGAGTTTGAAATGGAGCTTCAGTTTAAAAGTGTGTATAAAAATTCAAAAATAATAATAAATAAATGTTTATCACTTACACATTTTTCCACGTGGTTTTGGACTATTGGGACAATTTGGGGACGAACAGAAACACTTAATAAGTTGCAGACAAATAAGAAAAAGCTACTCAATCCAGGGGAATCTCCTCAGCTGAAACATGCAGTGTGGTCTCTTAAAGAAAGCTCTTTCGTCAACTGCCTTCCAACATACAAAAAAAAAACTACAGACACATCGACACACAGGCGAATATTTAACGAAATATTCTGAGAGAATAATTGGGAGCTTCTTTTAACAGACGGTTTTAAGTCTGGAAAAGGAACATGCTTCGCTGCAGATATATAGAATTCGATATTTATTTCGGTTATGATGCTGAAGACCAAGCTATGGTATCAATTCTACAACTAGTGAAAACACCTAAGCAAAAATATGTTGCGTGCACTGACCTCTTTTCAGCATATGAATCCGAACCCTGGATACGTGGGAGTGAGTACATGGGAATGAGCAATCGGAAAACGCCACAAGATCAAGACAGGATTTACAATTTTGATTTGCACACTCTTCTTACACCGTGAAATGCATTAAAATGGATGAATTATAACCACCACTACAAAACTCTCGATCCAAGTCTTGTGTAAGGCAATCAAATTTCTTACTTTTCTTAAAGCAATCGAGAATAAGTACTTTGTAGGTCTCAAATTTGGTCACACGAATTTTATGTACGTCCACCCAATAATAAACGCCGCAGCCATTACGTAAATTTTATCGAAACTCCCACTTAACCGTCAACCACATCGTTTAACAAAAAAATATCCCAGCAGCTAGTTCTCTAATCACTTGTTATTTGTAATTTTAATTATGTATAACAAATAATAAAAATAATAATATACCGATTATACAGGTCTGATTTTCTAGATTTGTTTTAAATTTCTGGTTCTTTTTAATTCATGAATAAATTTAGAATTTTATATCAGGCCAGGCTCCATTCTATGAAGAACTCATTGAAAATCTTGCATCTGTAATTTTTCACGAAAGTATTTCAAGTTAATTTGAAGATATATCAATGAACAATCACATTATGGCCATTCTGAGAAAACACCTTCTTTCAAATAAGTATACAAATAAATATGTATCTCTGTAATCATAAACGAATGAACTGTTATTTAATTAAACAAATGCAAATGATTTTTAACCATAAAATGTGACTTTAGGCTTGATAAAACTTGATTGTATGCTGCATAGCATTATGGTGGCATTTATGAAAAATTTTTTAATCCTGGCACATTTTAACAGAGTCAAAAATGTGATAAGTTTTTATTATTCTCAAACTAAACAAATATTAAAAGAAATTCTAGAAATAAAATTAAACTCTTTGATCTTAATCCTGGCTGCTCATAATTTTTGTTTATTGGCATGGCTGATGAGTGAGAAATGAGCCTCAATACTGAGGAAGAATTTCTTAATTTTTGCAGACTATCGCGTATGAAAGTGACATTTAATATTTAAAGGGGTTTACCTACACATGCGTAAATTAGAGGATTTTTTTGAATTCAAAAACAAATTTTACTAAGTACGCAAAATAAAATCCACTAAAACATTTCTTTTATTTTAGCTTTTCATGGGTAATGGGATTCAGGGTATATCGGACAATTGAAACCCGTAAAGTAAAAGTTTATTTAGATATTTAAATCAAAAGCGCAAAGTGAAAAAACCGTTTTTTTTTAAGATAAAAAGAAAATTTTTTGATAGATATTTTTTGAGTACAAAAAAATTGGTGGTTTTTGTTTTTATGCCTTTGATACTTGCTAAAATACAATGGATAGTAATTTTTCATTTTTTCGAGAATTTTAAATATTTTCTGTGTATCCACGAACATTTTTCGGAGTTTTCGGTGCTTTCTTAATTTTGAAATATATTTTTGGGATCTGTCGGGATTTTTATCGGTATTTCCATACCTTTCAGGATTTTGTATAAGGCTATTTGGTACTATTCTAAAACCTTTTCTAAATTTTTAATACTTACACATTTGTAGCATTTTCGCTGAAAATTTTTAATAAATAAAATAATTCCACTACAATCGTATCGCAGGTTTTCCGTAGCTTTGTAAAAATAAATTTCAAGCAGCTTCGGCTATTAGGAGTGCAAATAATTATTTACCGAACCTTCTAGACCCTCTTTTAAACATTATCATATCCTGACCGCTAGTCTGCAAATATAGTAATCATATAACAGCGTGCGACAGTCAATTTTATGCACAACAACATCAATATACTCACTAAACTACGGGCCAAATATAGTAAAACTGCATTTTTAGTTTTTCTCTCTGAAGTCAGGATTTTTTAAGGACTTTGAAATTTCAAGAATATAATTAATTCCAAAAAGTGTAACAAAAATATATATTTTTTTGGAGTTAAGGGAAAATGAAAGCGAAAGTTCTGTAAAATTGCAGAAATAGCCTGGAACGAGTTCCGCTATACCTTGTCCAATTTGATTTGTAGAAAAATTGGTTTCGGCGATGTGCCATCATTCAGTATTATTTTTCGTTCATGATTGTTTAGTTTGTTTTAAAATTTTTTGCTTTTTGTAAAATATGTACGGAGAGTTGTATCAATTTTATATCAACAAGCGCACGGTTAGCTTAAGCGCTATAAAATGCTTAATAACTCGCAAAGGTCACTATTATTATTAATGATTTCTAAGTAAAGGACCTGTTATTTCGATTGAGATGACTTAAAACAATATTAAAGGTGGCAATCATTAAGAAAAATTACAAATAAATTTTTGTTTCTAATTTTCACCGCAAAAATGGGAAAATTTTCGCAAACTCATATCATCATCGAATAGTCCAGACAAAAATTTATAGAAACTTTAGTTTTCGAATTATTCTTCCCATTTTGTGTCTGCTTCACATCGAGTCAAAAAGTAGCTTCTTTTGCACCGCTCATGGTGCCTGTAACATTTGACGTGAATCGCCCCATATGTAAACTTATGTATGTATGTCGGTGCTATTCAGAGGAATTTTTTGTTTGACAAACAAGATGGCAGTTTGCGACGCATATGTATGTTCTTGCTTATACTTTCAGTAAATGCAGCTCGAAGAATAGAAGTTATTTTTTTTGCAAATTATTTTTCAAAAAATAATTATATAAAAATATCCACACAAGCATAATAGTTAGCGTAACCGTGTTTTGTTGATGTGTTTGAATATTCTTCCTATAAATTAAAGCTTGTTCCTAATGTAGACTTGTAGCCCACTAAGCAAGTTTTCTATATGGAGGACATGAAAGTTAAAACGGAAAACCTGTCTGCTTTACATGGAATAACCCATATGTTCTTCAAATAAATACTTACGAAATATTTTCACACACTTTGGAAATAAACAAGACTAAGAACTATTGTTTTCAAAAATTTTTGTGCCAGCACTTTGGTGGTTTATTCATATTTATTTTCTGCGCCTATTGTCCGCGCTAACCAACAGAAAGTATCGCTTGCGCCTAGATAACTGATAACTAAGTACAGATATGTACTAACATAGATATGTATATGCAAACGAACTAAGAACCATAGCTCATAGCTGCTAGTGGTAAGGCATGAAACAATGTTGTTGTCAATATATTTATTTTTCATTTTTTTTTCTGAATCCAAAGTTATCTTTTAAAGCCCATAAGCGCTCACAATACTTTCCGGGTCCGTACGTTTGTAATACACATGTTCGTATGTACGTACGTATGTATGTATGTATACATATAATACAATATTACAAGATATGAACAATGATCTAAGTACATAGGTGAATGTTTTACAGTTACTATAATTGATATATATATGTATGTATTATTTAATAGCTAGGAGAAAATTACAATATTCTTTGTTTTAAAATTACATGTATTTAAGTATATTAATTACTGCTTTTAAGTACATACAATACGCTTAATTACATATCTCATGCACCACTATAAATAAACTAAGGAATGGAATGCATACACAAGTACTTTAGCTTAGAGAAACAGTTTTGGAGCAGATGGCTTAAGTTTTTCTGGTTTACTTTTTTTAATAGATTTTTTTTTTACATTTAGTTTATTCAACTTTTAAAATTGTGAAAATTATTTAGCTTAAAGTATATTTAAATGTAGTATAGTAAATGCCTTTTTTAAGGATGCTTTAAGGACTTTTTGTGTTCACTAATACCTCGGCTTAGTTCACAGATTTACGCTCGGTTAGTAACTTTTGCAAAGTGTTTACATATTAAACTATTAAAAATAAAATTAAGATTTTTTTAAAATTAAAGTATTTTGTTTGTTGCGGCAAAACAAAAAAAAAACTAATATAGAATAAACTTAAAAACTCGTACAAGAACAAATAACAATTACTCACTGGTTCAGTAGGTACACATACAAGCTTAACACATAAAATTTAACTAAAAGTAAAAAGGAATTAAATGTTGATATGCTTTGATTTCACCCCCAAATAGGCGATTGCATACAAAAGTACACTGCTTACATATGGCCTAGTATGCATGTATGTATGTATGTCTAAAATTTTTTCTATGAACAGCTTAAACTTTATAAGGCTTGCGTAAGGCTTAGAATTTTATTTTGTTTTCAATTTCTTTAAGCTGATTTTTTTTTTAATATTTATGTTTCAATTGAGGCATTGGCGGCGGTGTTGGTTTTAATTGATTGCGTTAATCATTTCAATTAAATATATTTTATGTAATATTTTTTTTTTAATTTTTAGTTATGCTAGTTTAAGCAAATTTTTATTATTAATAACAACTAAAGTCCTTTGGATTTGTTTGTGCTCGTTCTTCTTTGCTGTTTTTTTTTGTTTTGTGTTTTAAATTTATTCACTTTTTTATATCTTCTCCTACTAGCTGCATTTTGTGCGCGTAATTGCTAATAGTTGCTTGTTGCTAGGTTTTCTTGTGCGCTGCTTGCTGTCTTTTCACTTGCTTGCTTTGCTATTTTTGCATCAGCTCAATTTTGACTTCCTTATTATGTTTTTGCTTGAAATTTTCTTTAGGCGTACTTCTACTTATTTTTGGGCAAATGTCGTTTCATATGCAATGCCAAGTGATCGGAGCGCGCAAAACTTCGCTCGCAGACAACGCATTTGAAGGGCTTGGCGCCGGTGTGTTTGCGATAGTGACGCGTCAGTTCATCGGAGCGCGCAAAACGCCATTCACACTCGGGCCATTGGCAGGTGTAGGGTTTCTCGCCTGAAATGAGAATAATGAAAGAAATTATTAATTAGTGTTAAGAATACATTTTGTATAATAAGAAATACATATGTATAAGAACTTTAATTTATAGTACAATTCATAGTGCGTTCAAGATTTCATCATCTAAAATGCAGTATGTCAAACTATGTATAATAATAAGTTATATATTTCTGAGATATTTATAAATTATTCCAGATTTTTTGGTTTTTTTTTTATGAACATATTAAAAAATTAAATATTTTTACAGCGAAAAATATAAAATTTAGATCGCTTTCAACCTCTTCGATGAGTACATGACATTATTGCATGCTATATTAGGTGTAATTTATTTAAATAAAACTAAACGTACTTGAAATATTTTTTAATTTAAATTTTAATTTTTTTAAATACTTTTAAATTTTTTTAACCATCTTCAAAACTAAAGCTTTCTTAAACCTCTCTCTTATTCCCTGAATTCATCTTGAGATTTTAAACAGATGGCAACCCTCTCACATGTAGTTTAGAATTGGAGCTCTTTCAAAACCATTTCGATTGATACCCATTTTGTAAAAATTCTTTGCAATAAACTATTGAATACATACATACTTTGAATTTAACTTCTTAAACAGTTGGCAATCTTGTTACAGCTCTCTCGTCTGATATTCATATTGTGATGCATACATATGTATTTAAATTCCTTAACTCCCAGAATTCAAGTTGAACTTCGATTTATTCCTATTATATATTGTAATGACTCAATTAACTTATAATATAATTGTATTTGAATTTAGTTTTGAAACCGGTGGCAACTCTCTTCAAATACCTTAGAAAATTCTACATGTTCAAACTAAAGCTGTCTCAACAGCCTGCGTTTGACATTTTTTTTAATTTGTGTATAATTTAATTTAATTTGACTTTTCAAACACGTGGCAACACTCTTAAAAATATTTGCACTCTACAACCTTATTTAACTTCTTTTGTCTGACACTCATAATGAGACATATATTCCAATTACCTATTTCCCTTAATTCAAATACAATTTGGTTTTTCTCATAGGTGCAATTCTGATATGTGTAGGTTAGAAATTAAGCCTTTTCAAAACAATTTCTATTATTACTAATATTGTTATAACGCATTTAATTTAATCGAATTGAATTTTTAAACAGCTGGAAACCATTGTCAAGAACCTCAGTAACATTCAGAATTTTCAAGCTAAATGTTGTTTGACACACATATTTTTATTTTTCAGATAGCTTGCGAATAATTAATTTGAATTTCACTTTTCAAACGGGTGGCGACCCTCTTAAAAATATTTTCATACTAAAAACTTATTTAGCTTCTCTCACCTGGCATTCATATTGTGATCCACATTCCAATTACCTATTTCCCTTAATTTGAGTAAAATTTGATTTTTGAAATAGGTGGCAAGTCTGTTACATATAGGTTAGAAATAAAGCCTTTTCACAAACATTTAGATTTATACCCGTATTGTAATAATTCATTTAATTGAATCGAATTTAATTTTAAAACAGGTGGCATCTTCAATAAAATTCTATAATTTTGAATTTTGAAGGTTTCTCAAAAATATTTCGTTTGACACCCTTACCTTAATTTTTCAGATAGCTTGCGAATAACTAATTTAAATTTCACTTTTTAGACGGGTGGCAACCCTTTTTAAAATGTTTTCAAACTAAAATGTTGTAATAAACAGGTGTATGGAATTGATTTTATATACATATCTCCAATAAAAAGTTCCGTTACCCTATCAAAAACATTTCCTGAGATAAATATGCAAGATGAAAAAATCCGTTTGTATGGGAGGTGCTACACCCCTTTGTCTAATCGAGATTGAATCTACCTTTTACATTAAGCTGGTCTAAATGACATCAGTGTACAAAATTTCACGATGATCGGGATTTATAAATTAAGTAAAAGTAATGTAAAGTAAAATAAAGTAATAAAGTAAGGATAACAGATTTTATGTAAATATTTTCATTTGTGTTAAAGCTACCAATGAAGAAAATTAACGGTAAATATTTAAAATAGTTATGAATGGTCAAACGAAAACGCGTGAGAATTTTTTCGAATGAAATATGAACAGGAAAGAATGTCATCAAAACCGTCAAGGAACATTGAAAACAACAAAATGCTCAATATTCCACCAAAATATGTAAATATTTAATGATTTCGTGAGGAATGCACTTTTTAATGTAGTCCACTCAAATGAGTTGCTATTCGTTACATTTATAAGCAATTTTCAAAGAATGTTTCGAGAATGCTTAAAGGCTCATAATCAGCAAATACCAACGTACATAAATCACGCGGTGCACCACATTTCCATTAAACCAAAAAGTTCTAAAGCTGCCGACAGAATTTGCAATGCAGCATTTCCATAAATTTTTGGTAACGAAAACCAAAAAAAAAATGTTAAAAAAAAATATGACTGCTACAAATTGTCAATCTACAACTGCCGCCTCCACCGAAAACTCGCAGTGACACTAAGCGTTCGAGTATGTCGCAAAGTGCTATGCTCCTATGCATGTACATATGTATGTTGTATGTACATATGAAACCACATTAAATTTGTAAGTATACATGTGTGTCTGATGACATATTTATGTATGTACGTAGCCGTGTAAACTACGCGTGCCACAAATGTCCCTTTCCATATGAAATTGCGCTCAAGAATGCACGTACTTATACATACATATGTAGTAAGTGTAGATATATTTGATTGCGAACACATATGCAACTTCTTGATTGCCAGCGATTTCGCTTGGCATCGCTGCTGATGACGATGGTGATGGCGATGGCGATGACGATGACGATGACGATGACGAAGGGGATGGCGGCATTGGCAGCAGTCACACCGACTGACAACAATTCTTGCCAGAAATTTATGATTTTTCAGTTATTTACCTGCGTACAATTGTCATAATTTAACATTGTTCATGCAACAGTACTTAACAATAAGAAAAGCAACAACAACAACTGCACTTCGCATTGCGTTACATTGCGGCATTGGGGAATTCAAGCATTCAAACATTGAAGCATTCGCGCATTCGAGCACACTCTGCACATTTTTCATTCTTCTCGCCTTTGATGGAGAACTGCCACAAATTACTGGTTGCATGCGAAATGCGTTCGTGGCTGATATGACAGAAATGCCGCCGCCGTTCATTGCGCGTGCATTTATGAGCTGACAAAACAAATGACTGAACAATAACCAACAATTGTTGTTGACTGAAAGAAAATTATTAGAATTGCAGTAGTAGTTACTGTCGAAAATTGCCATTACCAGGCGGCCGAACAGTTAGACAGCTTGTCAGTCAAATCAGCTAAATATGAGGCGAGCGAAAGATGAATGGCAAGCGGGTGAGGGAAGGAAAGCGAAGCGAAACGTTGAAGTGGAGAGGGCAGCACAAGCCTGCCATCAACACTTGCACTGGCGTAGAAAAAATAGAAAACACAAAAAAAAAACACAAAAAAAATAAGAGAATGCAAAAAAATAAAAGATCATATTTTGTTTTGTTTTTGCGTGCATTGCAGATTGCAAGAATGCTTCACGACACGATTCGCCGTTTAATTATTTGTTTGAAATTCTTGAAATTGCCAACAAATTGAAATGCTAATCACCGACAAGCAATTACGCAAAGAGTTCCACAAGCGTTTCTTGTCTGCGTCTTCAGTGATCTTGCAGACTGACTGGTGCTTCCGCGAGCACAGTGTAGCATTTTTATAAATGTGAGTACATAATTAGAACTCTAAAAATATGAAATGGAGAGCAATTCCAAAGTTGATAAGAGTTAAATAAATTTTCAAAAATATTTACATGGCAGCGATTGCGATTGTGATTTTATATTTAGAATAAGGAATAAGCCGCATACCACAAGGCATCTCTCTGGCTGCTATGTTTTCTGTTTGAAGGAAAATTCTTTTTAGTAAAGGATAAACAATTATTAAACCAATTGACAAGAGCAAAAAAGTGCATACTCGGTTTTTTCTTAAATTGTTTTCCCATTATGATGTCAGCTGTTAAAGTTGACATATCTACAAAAAGTTTACATATTTTTTTCTTTTGTAGTTAGAATTCTTGTAGCTCGAATTTCGAATATTTCTTCTAATAAAGTTATTAAAAAAAAGAATGGAAATGAATAACAAAAGCAATATTTGTTTGATTACAAAAAAAAGCTTGTACATAGCTTTCTAAGTACAATTTAAACTCATTTTCAAAATGAACTACAATTTGTGTATTAATATCTCACTTAAAGTAGAGCTATACAAAATTGCCTTCATTTGACGGTCTGCAAACTTCGTGGACATTGAAAATGTTGCCCTTTATTGCATTTTTTGTAAAATGGGCTTTTTTCTTAGAAAACTTCTATGTTTGTTTTGCTGTGCTTTTCGATGTTTGGAAAGAAGCAGCCAACAAAGATGTCTTTTGCATCCGTTTTAAACTTTTTGTTGGGAAAATGAAGACAAGAAGACAAGCTGTGGAAAATCAGGAAAATAACGTAGACTTAATGCTTCGTGCTACTTCCACAGCTGCTCAGAAAAGAGTCCAAGTGGATTGAGCTATTACTTTGAGAACAGTTTGTGAAAATCCCACGAACGTAAAAGTTGTTAAAAATGGATGCAATGAAAAATTCCCCAGTTTTTTGGTGAAAAGGAAAAAATTATTAAATTCGGTCGCCATATTGGATCCGCCATTTGGAATGTCAAAAATATGACATCATATTCGAAATTAGCGACCTCAAAAACTCCCGCATACGAAGCTTCAAATCAATTTGGTTACTTCTCGACTTTTGGCCTGCAAATGATAGTCGCCAGACTATAGTGCATGGGCCACACTATAGAAGTGAAACTTATGTTACGTATCTAGATTTCCTCATAATCAATAAATGTGTTTCATTGCTTTGAAATAGTGATTAAAACGACAGGCTAGTTAAAATAATGGTATCTTTATTCCATAACATCGTATATCATACAACAACAAAAAAGTAGTCTATCCGTCTTCA